CAGACTATCCACTCTTTACAGATGTTCATATACATATATACATGAAAACATGTTTGCAGACATCTTTGATAGTTATCTATTTGTTTCTTCCCTTGCACATGTATATAAAATTCTATTTTGTACTCTATTTTCCGATCGACATTTCTATCTTTGCATCTTTGCTTTTTTAAGCGTACCACTGTAATTTCCAAAATAAGATCTATTTGCTGATTTAAACTCTACTTCTGTTATTATTATTGTCATAATAATATATTTCAATTCCAAGCTAGTTCTGTGACCTTGACTCTCTTCGCTGTGCAAAATGTTTTAAGACTTATCTCTTAGTTTCTTTCTCATACTCATACATCTTCAACTCGCTCTTTTCTCTCTCTCTCTCTCTCTCTCTCTCTCTCTCTCTCTCTCTCTCTCTCTCTCTCTCACTCTCTCTTCTGATATATTTCCTCCTTCTACACTTTTTGGCTCACTTAATAAATTAAAGTCTCTGCATTAAAATCGATTCATGTCCTCAACTCTCGCTCACAATTTTAATTACTCGATTTCAATTGAGACCTTCGCATACAAAAATCTGTGGCTCCAGCTTGCTTAGCGGGGGGAGTAGTGAGGACAGGGAGCTTCTCGCGAGCGCCGCTTTCGATTAATAACAACAGCATAAAGGCTTGTAATGGACTAAAGCCTTGAAATTAATTATGCTAATTTAAGCCTTTTTGGCAGATGCTTTCATGCTAACAAATGACATTCCGACTAACTAATCTGGCCATTAGCCGAACCCAAAACCGAACCAAGCCAAGCCGAACGGAATGGAACGGAATGGAATGAAACGGAACGGAACTCTCAGCTGATCTGAGCCGGGCTGAGCTGAGAAACCTCCTACGTGAGCCATGCCTCGAGCTCATTTTCTGCCAACTGAACACTTAATACACCAAAAGCAAAACAACAACAACAACAAATAAAAACCAAACAAACAAGAAATGGAAATCTTGCTCTGTGTGTGTGTGTGTGTTTGTGTGTGGAGGTTGAGGCGAAATTGGCCAACTAAGACCCTGAGCCATAATTTGGCCTTGGATTTGTAGCCCATTTGGGGAGCTCAGCTGAGGCCGTTACCGAATGACCAACAACCGCAACAGCAGCAGGATTTGTGCCTGCAGGAGTAGCCATGGCATCCAATACGAAATCGTAAAACCACGCGCCAGCTCTTTAGAGCTCTTCGCTCTGCGGTCGCTCTGACAGATAGACATTATCCAGTTAATGGAACTAGTTAAGAACTCTTCTTCTGCTTCTTTTTGAGAACAAAAACATTTCAATTTTCACTTTGTTGTGCAGGTTAATAAATTGTCTTAAATTTGAGCGATCAAAATATATTTTCTAGCTAATTATTAGCTTTCAACATCTAAATTAGAATAGTTGGTTCATCAATTGAACAAAATTTTGTATAGCTCAGCTTAATTGAGAATAATTTAGGAATTAAAAGTACAGGGTATCAAAAGTCTTTATAAATTTGATAGTTAGCATTTCAACTTGAATGCATTCGGCTTTGATATGCCGCTAATGTAGTGGGAGATATACAGTTACATATACATATATAGCCTTATTTGGTAAATGTCATTCATGGCTAAAAAGCCTTCCGCCCTGAGGCAAAGTGCATGAACAGAGTTTGATGGGCGGCAACTGGGCGGGCGAGTTGAGCTGGCAGGAGGCGCGCTGCAGCTGCAAATGAAATTGTTTTCAGCCGGAATTTATAGAAAATATATCTGACGCGCTGCTTATCCTTAGCTCTTAGCCAGCTTCAGCTGTCACACGAGCGAGCTTCTGCTCCTGCTCCTGCTCCAGCTCCTGCTTCTGCTGCTGCTGCTGCTGCTGCCGTTCACTTCCCAACGGATTGCTGTCGTGTTTGTGCTACATGTGAAATCCCCAATGTCAGCGAAGCACAGCTGTGCAATATGAGTAATCTCGATATTATGTAGATACAGAGCCAGAGACAGAAACAGTTGGAGCTGGAGCAGAAGCTGGAACACACTCGAGTGCTCAGTGTGCTCCAGTGAAGCCTGCCTAGAAATGATTGAAGGATTTCGTTACTCAACTTGCAAATACATGAGACTGTATATGTCTTTCTGTATGTGTGTGTGTGTGTGTGTTTGTGAAGCACTTTGCTTTCATTCGTAATTGATATATTACAATTGTCTCTTACTCGACTGAGCCCAACTCTCCAGACAGTGCAGTTCCTGTGACAAATTGTGCAGAAATTCTATTTCTCACTGTCGCCCAGTGCCACGCCCCGGTTTGCAGTCGAATTGTTGCTTGAGATATAGCAAATCTATATTTAACTTTATTTAATAGATCATGCATGTACGCCTAAATTATTCAGATTACAGCACGAAAATCAAACAGAAAAAGAAAGTTCCGGGCGCATCATCAACTCGACCAAAAACTGAAACTGTAATCAATCTTAGGTTTAGGCTAAGCAGCGGCTGGCAAAAGGAAATCTACACAAACATACATATGTATATATATATGTATCTGTATATAAAAAGCCAACGAACCGCATCGAAAAGTTTCATTTGGCTAGGAAGGGGGCGGGCGTTGAGAAAATCGTGAATTATTTGGCAAATGCTTTGCGGCAAATTTGTGCATCCGCCCACTTGAACCCGCCCCCTCAGTCACCTGCTGCCGCCGCCGCTACTCACCTGGCGAAGATCAAAGCGAAATGTGTAACGAAATTGCCAATTACATATAAAACACGCAAAACTGTCTGTGCCCGGCCACCTGGACGGTGGCAGCGCCTTCCACCTGTGTTTGTGTGTGTGTGAGTGAGAGAGGAGAGAGGGGATGAGCGAGAGCGAGAGAGCTGCTCTAAAACAAAAAGGGCCGATTTTGCCGGCAATTCAATTCAATTGTGAATTCAATTTTGAAGTTGGCAACGCGACGACGACCAGCAATGGCAACGCTAACATTGCTGCCAGTAAATGAAGCATTTACGAAACGTGTGGCAACGCCGAACCAACCAGTCAGCTCTCTCTGTCTATCCTTCTTCCCATCGCTCGCACCAACACTCTCATGCGCGGCCGGTTTTTGTTTGCATGTGTATGTGGGTGTGTGTGTGTGTGTGTGTGTGTGTGTGTGTGTGTGGGAGTGTGTGGCAACGACGTAAAACAAATTTGCACTAAATTCTTTGACACCCACCCCGAAATTCGCCTCTCGTGTGGCTCACCCATTGCTATGGCCTGCTGCGTCGACATCTTTTCAGCTGCTGCTTCGCCTTTCGCCGCGGCGCCTTATTGAGGCGAAATTGAATTAGTGCGACGGCGAAAGCGGAAGCGGTTGCTAAGCAGGAAATTGCCTGAAATCAGGCGCACGTAAGCCCCGTCACGCCCCGCCAACCACACACACACACACACACACACATTGTACATGTGTGTGAATGTGTTTCATTAAAATCTGAAATGTAGCCAGTTGCTCGGTCTCTGCACGCTTTTGGCTTTTATGCGACAATTGTGTGCCGCTGCTGACTTCATTTGCATGCACCGCCAACGGTCCAGCGCTCCAATGTTCAATGTCCAATGTCCGCCGTCCAAAAAGTCCACGGCTGAGACTCGTGATAATGGCATTCGTTTCAGCTTAATGGATTTCGCACTTAAGCGCTATAGTTTTGATTATTAACACTAATTGAAAGTCATTTAAATAATGCAATTTATACTCCTGTTGCCAGCCATAGCGAGGCTCAGAACTAAAAAAACAAAAAAACAAAAGCAAACAAAAACTTTTGAGTCGGAAAGAAAAGTTCATTTTCTAGCAAACAATGCTTAACTTAACAGAGAGAGGGGCAGAAAGTGACAAAGACAGAGAAGAGGGAACGATAAATACAGTTGAAGAAGGAGATAGAGACAGAGGGAAGGAAATAATTAAAGTGTATTTTGTTGTATGATTTCTCCTTGTATGATTCCTCTTATTTCTGTCATTTTCGTTTTGAATTTCTCAGCGGACATACAAAAAATTGTTTTCGGATCAAACCTAAGCTTAGTCAAACTGATATAGATTAAGTAAAAAGAGAGGGAGAAAGTATTTTTTTATAGTCTCATTTTCCCTATTTGTTACCTTGTTGCGTACAAATTTTACTAAATCATGTTCTTAGAGTTCGAGTTAGGCAAAATATAAATTAATTTACAAAGAGCTTCATTAAATGAACTTATTTACTTATTTCTAAAATTTTAAAGAAATCTGTTAGCAAATTAATAATAATAATAGTTGCTGAAATAAATTATATAAATAATTAAAGAGCTGAAAATCACATATGTGTATGTATATATTTTATATCTATATATAATTTTTAGAACTTTTAATAAAATATTATAACAATATTATATAAAATAAAATATTTCATATAAGGTTTGCATTATTAAAGCAGTATATAAATTACTATCGTTTTATCAATTGCTTGAATTAATTTGCCGAGAAAAGGAAAGTTAATTTTAAGGGATAATAATAAAATACGTAGACACAATTTCCATATTAGCTTTGGGCCCTTTTTGGTAGTCGCAGCCTTTTATATTAAATGAACTTAGCACATACTCCTGTGGCATGTAGCATGTGGCATGTGGCATGCAGCATGTGGCAAGTGCGGCACACTCATGGACGATTTGCAACCAATACCTGCTGGCAGACGGGCAAATGAATGGAAACGTGTGCCAGAAATACGTGAAACGAAGCGTAAATGAATTTTTCACTCCCCCATTAAAATTTAAGTGCACATTTTCCGGCGCAACGCACGAGAGGATGCCAGCGAGAGGGCCAGCGCTGTGGAAATCGCAACCATTAAGTTTAAGGAAGTTTAGAAGTTGGAACAGGACGTGGCATCCTGGTGGCTGCTTGCTCACACAGCAAAAAGAACTTGCCACAAAATTGTTAAATTGTTAACTCGTTAAATTGTTAAATTATTAAGCAAGAGCTAAAGTTTGCACCATCTCTAATCACATGATATCTTCCTCCCTCTCTCTCTCTCTCTGTAGATTATATGCAATCGCTGTGCAAGAATCATTTTCTGCAGCAGCTCTATCGCAAAATAGATGGCGCCGTCCTCTGGTCCCAGAATGAGCGCAACTTGGACTGCGTCATCACGTTCCAAACCCACTCGATATTGCAGCGCTTCATGCTGCGCTTCGACATGCTCCAGCTGGACTGCAACGATCACCTGCTTGTCTACGATGGAGCACACGCTGTATCGACGCCAAAGGTAACGATAAAATAATCATATATAAATATTTTATTTTCAAATTTACTGTTAATTTAATTAATTAAGTTAACACAAAGCAAAGGGCAATGATTGAGGCTTAGTAGAGTAAACGCAAAAGCAAAAGCAAAGCTAAAGGCAAAAGCAAAGAAAATAAAAGTTAGGGAACAAGCAAAGGCGAAGAAAGAAATATGAAAGGGAATGGCAAATAAGTGCTAAGGCAAACACAAAGTCAAAGCATAGACAAAAACAAAGCCAAAGGCATAGGCAAAGGCAAAAGCAGAATCAAATGCGAATCAAATACAAAGGCAAAAACAAAGGCAAAGGCAAAGACAAAGGCAAAGACAAAGGCAAAGGCACAGACAAAGGCAAAAGCAAATGCGAATGAAATACAAAGGTAAAAACAATGGCAAAGGCAAAGGCTAATACAAGGGGATAGGCAAAAGCAAAGAAAAGCAAATAGAGGCTAAGGGAAAGGTAAAAGCCGTTGCAATTTGTGTTGCAGACTCATGATCCAAATGCACAATCGGAGCACGCTGATGCCTCTGACATTTTAAGTTCAATCCCTGCGGGGTTTCCGCAGTGACACACACACACACACACACCCACACACTCACACACATACTCACATTCTCTCTCAAATGAAGGCATAATTTTAGCCTCTGCAACATTTGCAACGATGACAACGGGCAAGAATGTCGGTCGATCGCTCTGTCGCCTGGTGAGTGGGTGGGTGGGTGGTGGCTGGTGGCTGGTGGTGGGTTGGCTCAGTGGAGAATGTCTGGTTGGCTGGTGTATGCACCACTGCGGTTGCAATGCGGCGCCAAATGGCAGCTGCCAACTGCCGGCTGATAGCGCTCTGATTTTATCAGCAACAATTTTCATTTTTCATACGCCCCGTTAGCCTGACGCTGCGCTGCGCACATATATTATTTTTTCTGCCTTGTGTGGGCGGGTGTGCATGTGGGCGTGGCGTGTGTACGTGTACGTGTAAGCGCAATGTAAGCCAAGGCAAGTAGCAGCACATAAGCATAAGCAAAATTCTTGAATCGCAGAGAAGCCACAACAAAAAATTGCCCAGGAATGCGTCTTTGAGAGACTCGAGCAGAGGGCAGAGAGGGCAGGCAGAGAGTCTGCCCTCTGCGTTAATTTGGCTTTATAATATGTTAGTTGAAGTTAATATATATGCATGCTTATGCATGGCTCCTTAAGCCGAAGTACCGAATATTATGACTGCCGCATTCTTTGATACGCGATATAAATATTCCCTTATACAGTATATACATATATAAAAGTGCGTGCCGCAACCTGAATTGCTCCAGCATAATTGCTGTGTCGGCCGGAATGCTCCATAAAAAGTTAACGAGTCGAAAGTTTATGACAAAATCGATGGCACTTTAAGCTTCTAATTACGAAAAGTCAACTCCAGGCCGGACAGTTAAGACAAAGTGCCAATCAATGTAACGGCCGTGCTACCTTCGCCCAGCTCGTTTTGTGGCTGCGAAATTCGTGCCATCAACTTCTGTTCGCCCTTTAACTTGAACTGCAAAGGCCGATTATATATCAATATATATACATATGTATGTATATAGTCTTCTGCTTGATATAAGGGTCTTCTACTCTGCAATTTTTTTGGCGTATTATTGCACATTAAAATGCAAATAATTCCGATTAGAAAATAGAGTATAAGACTTTCAGTTCAAGCTGATTCAAATATATAAAAATAAAAAAATATATAAATGTATTAACCAACTATGTCGGAAATAGCATATATATAAGTAATAATAATCAAATATATATGTATATGCATTGACCCTGAATTGAATAAGTTTGAAATATAATATATTGAAATTATAATATATGTACATCGTTATATAACACATTGATCAGTGATTATGATGAATAATATACACTAGTTTAGAATAATAGTATATACAATAGTTGTATCTCCCAGTCATGCGTCTCAAGCTAGTGTAAATGGAAACAAGCACAGTCCTACTTGCATAATCCACATGGAAGATGTTAAATATGAATATATAACCTTTACTGAATAAATCCGAGGCATAAATTTGACCATTATTAGTTTGCCCCTATTTGAGGCGAGTTTGACAGATTTTAGCATCAGCCTAATTGCCATTCAAATTTGTTATCTTAAGAATAGAATTGATTTGGGCCAATTAATAGGCCACAATTTCAGAATATCAAATGTCCGTATTATTCAGAAATACAGTTGCAATTATTGAATTAGATATTCACGCAGTCTGCATGCAATTGCCTAAATTATTTATTGATTGCGAGTAGCCTAAAGGCTCACACTTATATAGTTGGAAATTAACACTAACTAGCACTGGCGACGGCTCGATTTAGTTACCGTATACCATGGAGCGTAAAGGTAAATCAGTAATTAGATTTTTCGACGAATGATAAACTAAGTTTGAGCATATTTTTATGAAATGGCTTCATTCCGAGTTGAAAGCCGATTATTGTTCGACTTGTATTGAGACTTTCTTAGATTTCTACTGCTGCCTCTGCTGCTTTTTGTGCCTTGTTTTGCTCTTTTGTCGAGTCACACCGTAAGAGCCTTTGCCTAAATATTTGCCAAGTGGCTTGTTTTGCAACAGACTTACGAATGTTTTGTACCCCCCAGTAGCCAGTCAATTTGCAGTGCTCTGCTCACCTCACCTCGGCTTGCTCACATTCACCTGGCTCTGCGCTGCTCAGCTCTGCTCTGCGCCGAGTCGTTTGCATGTGACCTAAGAAGCTTTGTGCATCTTTGGCTTTTAGCCCACTTTGCACCTTTTAGCCCTTTTTGTATCACTGCACAATGTGGCGTATGAGCGATGCGGACAGATTTATGAACTTGCCAGCGACTCGAGTCGAGTCGAGTTGAGTCGAGTCGAGTCTCATTTGCATGCAGCTAGCCACAGCAATGACGGCCGAAAGCTGAAAGCCGAAAAACCAATAACATTTGCGTCGAGTCAAGTGTCTTGGCATGTAAATACTTTTGGCCCAAAAGAAATTGTCACTGCTTTCAAAATACAAAATTAAAATTTTGCCACACTGCGGGCGAGTGTGTGTGAGTCGACTTCAAAGCAGCGGGAATGCCGGGGCGCACAAAATGTAGCGGAAAGTTTGCGTTTTTGGGGCTGCAACAAAATTAAAATATGCCACAAAATGCCGCACGTCGAAGATTCCGAGCAACTGCAACTGCAGCTGCAGTCACAGAGCCTAGGATCTGAGAACCAGGACGTTGTGCCAAGAAAGGCAACCGCAGCAAAGACCTCAACGATGACGCACACACAGCGAGAGAGAGAGAGAGAGAGAGAGTCTGTGTGTGTGTGTGTGTGTGGGTGTCTATGGCATGTGGATGGCGGTGGGACGTGGACTTTGATGAACCCCGTTGCAACTTTTAGGTTGCATGCAGCGCCAGCAGCATTACAAATTTACACAAAGCGAACGAGGCGCGGCATGGCACGTGGCACGTGGCATAGAAGTCCTCGGCATCGTCATCAGCATCAGCATGAGCATCAGCATCCTCGTCCTCCTTGTTGCTGTGCACTTTGTGGCATCAGCGGTGTTGATGATACGAACGAGGGGCAACTTTACGCCAACATCGGACAGTGGCAAACTTTGTCCGCATTTTAAGCAAAATTTATGAGCAAATGGAACCTAAGCTGTGCCAATTTTAAATCAACCAATAGTAATACTTTATGGCCCAAGAGATTTGCTTTGCATAATCAGTAAGCAGGAAAAAACTTCCAAATTATTCATTTATAATTGTGATGTTTGCTTGCCCGTTTCTTATAATGAACAAAATTTGCAATGCTTCACAAACTTTCCCAGCTGTCTGCCATGACAGCTTGTGACTGTTGGCACAAATAATTTAAAATAAATTTAAGCACTCATACATTTGCACATTATCTTTGCCTAAAAGCCAAGCTTTAAATAGCGGGTATATGCGAGTAAGCGAGATAGTAAGAATATTTCTGTTAAATGACAGATGAAAGAGAAGTGCAACAGGAGTGAAAGCTGCAGACAGAAGCGCTGAGGTAGGAGAGCGCTATAAATAGAACTGCGAGTGTGGACTGTAATGTGGGAGTGTGCTTGCATGTATTTGTGTCTCGCGATTAAGTGACATTAGGTTATGTCAGCCCACAATTTGGTAATGTGTGTAGGGCAACAGAGTCTCGTGACCATAGTGCGCGGATCTAATGAGAGAAGACAAGCCAATCATGCATGCACACATGCATTGAAGTTGAAGCAACTGTATACGCTAGTGCTCGTGTCTGCTCAACTGTGTAGCTGTATCGTGAGTAAAAGAGCAAGGAAGAGTGGTTTGAAAGAAATGAAAGCTGTAGACAGAAACAATGTGCAAAGAGCACGACATAAAGCTGAAGAGCACAGCGAATGTGAACTTTGAGCTTTGAGCTTTGAGCTTTTTGAGTTTATTTTGTTATGCGTTCGTGTATGCTCGTATTCGGATGTAATGAGGCAAGCCAAAATTGAGCGCCTGTTGAGAACGAGCGCATTTGTATGTATGTGCCTGCTCGTATGTGTGGATCTGCAGCGAGAGTGGACAAGACAGTCAGGCATATCTGTAAGAGAAGAGCATTGGAGCTGTGCATAAATGTGTGGGTGTTATAGGCATTCAAGCTGTTCAAAGACCACCGAGCTGTATAAATAGAGCTGCTCGTTGGGGTTGTAGTTCAGTAGAATTAGCAAGGCGAGCTGGTGAAGTTGTGGAGGAGAATCACAGTAGATGAAAGGGAGACATACATATTAATATTGGTTATATAATATTAGAGCATTTAAAGAACCGAAGCTTGTTTTGTACAAGCATTTGATACTACAAGCCAACAGTTGACATAGTCCTTCAGGCATCCAGGAATTCTAAGCTGCATACATACACCGCATGTGACCTAAATATGCGTAACTAACCGCAAGCTCAGGGCAGAGATAGCAGAATGGGAGACGCGGGGCGGGTGGACTAAGCCCTGGCAACTGATGCCACCTCAAGGTGCTTAGTTGGGCGTGGCTTACGCCATGGCAATGATGAGACTTCACGCGTCAGCGTTGCCATTTCCCTTTGTGGACGTCGCTAACAAGCCTTCAGCTGTGCCCCATTTGCAGGGTTCAGCCAAAGCTTTGCAGGGATCCCACTATCTCCAATTGGGCGAGGCCAATTTAATAGTTGGTCCAGCGTTGAACATGTGATGCGAGATTTCAACATTGATGGGAATCATTTCCCTAATAAATGGTACGCAGAATTGAATCAAATCGACTTGTAGCGCTGTTTCCAGCTATTGATTGTCTGCCTTTCGTCTGTCTAGCAGTCAAGAAGAAATTATTCATGTGAATTTCATTTGCAGATTGACATCTCCTGTCGGAACACAAAGAACACTGTGAACGCGATATTGACGCGCACGAACTTCGTAACGCTGAAGTACGTGACCGATGGCTGGGGAACGGATGCGAACGGTTTCAAGTTGGTGATAACGTCGGTGAAGGATCCCAGTAAGTGGGCGAGCGAGTCACTTTGACTGCTGATTAGTTATTAACAATTTGTGAGTTTTCACCATTTGCAATTTGCGATTCGCAGAGCATACGTGCAAGGACTTCACGTGCGCCACACGCGAATTCTGCATAAATCCGGATCTGTTGTGCGATGGCGTCAACCACTGCGGCGACAACTCCGACGAGTCCGTGCAGAACCTCTGCCAGAGTGAGTGACCAGCCCCAGTTGAAAATCAAATTTAAGGCTTATTCCACCAATTCCCTTGCAGATGAGACGACGAGCACCGTCTTTGGCGTGGACATGACCTGGTTCGTGCTGATTGTGGTCGGAGTGCTGCTGGTCCTCAGCGCGCTCATCGTGGCCATCGCGATCTGCGTGTGCCGACGCCAGGACGAGAATGCCGCCAACCAGAACACCGCCCTGCAACGTAAGTGGAGGTGCCTCTACCTGGCCTAGCCTGCTTTATTATATCCCTTATCCAATTGCAGTGCATCACAATGCCGAGACGAATGGATCGTCGAAGCATTTGCACTACCACGGCGTAGGCATGGGCATGGGCATCGGCGGCACCCTGACGAGGGAGCACACCCAGCTGCCACCGGCGTCGGGAAACTGGCATCACCCTGCGGGACCATACGGGTACCACCGCATTCCACACAGCTACTTGAAGATGGCCACCAAAGTCCGTCCCATTTGGTGCTTGGCAAATTCCGTCAATTAGGTCAAGATCTTTCGCAAAACTCAACCGGACTCAGCCAGACGAACATCGCCGTTGCTGGCAATCATCCGAATGCCAACGCCGCTGTCGGCGCCGCTCAAAAGGACGAGTGGTTCGTTTAGGACAATCCGAACTGAGGAGCTGTGAAAGTGAAAGACGCGAAAACAAAACCAACAAAACATAATTGACTTGAGCACAATAATCTGCACTTAATTAAGTGATTTCATGGATATTTGCAGAGCATTAAATGAAGTGCGTAATCGAACCCCAAATCCCTGTCAAATTCAAAGTCTATATTTCGATTTTAATCTCCCTTACTTCTGAATACTATTTCAGGACTGTTTGACTATACTTAACAACAACAACAACAATGTGGACATCACCGCGCAGGGTGTATATTTAAGAGATCTACTCGTACCCAGACAGAATCTCGAAAGCATTGGGCAATTTGTGCCTTCAACGAGGCACAATCTTGTCGGATATCCAATGCAACTGTACATAGCTTATATATAAATATGATTACACATATATGAAATTAATTTAAATTAATTTACAATTTAATACAAATAGCTAAAAGTCCCGATAACGAAAATAAACCAAACCAAACCAAGCAAATGGCATCAACTAGAGATAACGAATATTTTAGAACATATGTTAGAGATAAACCGCAAATCGGATGTGTAGTCGGAGCAGGAAGGAAGCCTTCAGCTTCCCCAATGCGTCGAGTCCTTGGCAATTCCTTAATTACAGCTATGTAACATAATTGTTGGCATTTCTTAAAAGAGTATTCCATTCGTTTGTCACTATTATTTTTATGATTAGTTCTCGATGATAATTCCAACCGAACCGTGAGTAAGCATCAGCAATGAATAAAACAATCGATGGCATTTAAAGCAAAACTTTTAAATCAGCTTCCCCGTAGCTGTTGAAAGTATTGAAGCTCAATATGAAGAGGATTAGCTGGTCTAACTTTCAACTAACATGCGAATGATATATACATACATATATATATATATATGATTTTAATAGAGACGACGAATTCTAAATATTAATAATATGGACACAACAACAACAACATGAACAAGGGATGTACATAAGTAGTAGACAATATTAATACGAAAACTAAAAAAAAAAAGAAGAAAAAAAAATGGAAAACTAAAATAAACTTCAGAAACTCAATTTGCATAGTTCATTGTCATTGTCTATAGCCTGAAGCATATATTAACAACTGAGATGAAAATATGAAAATCAAGAATATGAGAATATATGCTCGTCATCAAATCCACATCAAATAGAATTCATTATTCCATTCGATTCGAAGGAACCACAACCAAATGCTAAATGACAAATTTTTGAGACATTAAAGGACAATACAAAACACAATTTTGCTCTTTTTGATGAAACATTTAAATACATTTTGAGGTCGCGAATACTGAAAGCAAGAGAGTCCGCATACATTTTTCTACAATCAACTTAATGTAAAAACGAAAAAAGATAATGCAAAGAAAAACAAAAACAAATTACATTTTGCTACAAGTCGAACAAATACGATTATATTAACTAACACAAAAATGGATTAAATAAACTCAAGAATGAATGGAATAAAAGCAAAACTTACTAAATCAAATGCTTCAAGTTACGATTGTAGTACTTCCCGCCGTTAATATTTTTTAAAGTACATATTAAAGTTGAATAATAATAACAATAAAAAATTAACAAATACAAATGTTTAAACAATTACAAAGAGCCAGCTGCTTACGATTCGTCTTTCAAAATACTTCCATAGAACAGTTGAATCTTTATTTCCCTTACTAACTGAGAGAGAAAAAAATAAATAAAAATAAACAAGAAGGAAATATTCATTTTAATTAATTTTTTATTATAAAAATAAACGTACCTACACACACAGGAAAGTAAAAGTAGATAATATCCGAAATTGTCTAGGCGTTTGTAAAAAAAAATAGCTGCAAAATAATGAATAATACACACATATGTTCCAGAAACCTAGAAGAACCTATAACCATATAATATATAGTATATGTATGTACGATAAATATGAATTTGTCTTCTCTTGAGATTACATAAGAAAAATTTGATTCTTGATTTTCATATTTCCTATTCTTTTGCTTTGAATCATTCCAAAAACTTTTCGGATGCTTTGTACTCCCTTTCTAGTTTTCTATTTGAAAAATAATATAGGTATATTATAAAGGACGAAAGAAAAACAAACAAGCCACTTCATACAAATATTTATCGTGAATTATAGAAAGATGATATTATGATAACATGAATTTTTAACCAAAATTATTAATGAAATTGTATTAGGCGTCAAATTTTAGAAAAGAAACCAAGAAATAATTCCAAAATATAACTTAAAGAGAAACAAATACTTAAAGTAACAACAAATTAATCTAAATTATTAAACAAAGGACAACATTAATCGTAAAATTGTTTTATATGCAGAAACTAATTTATGCAATACAGGAATATAAATTACTACAAAAAAAAAAAAAAAAAAACGAAACAGAAATTAAGAAAATTATGCCCGAATGAGATATCTGTAACGATTGTGTCGTATATGAATGTAGCTAAAATATACAAAAAAAAAAAAAAAAAACCAAAAAACAAAAAAAAAACAACAAAATACAATTTAATCCAATTAGCGAAAATTGTGCGAATACTAATAATATCTATCCACGGGAGATCGTAACTGCTTAATGAGAACTAAAGAGAATTATGATTACAAGGGTGGATTAAACACGAAAGATGCTCGCAATAGAGTACCCAATAACAATTCCCCAAATGAAATAACAAAAAATAAACAACAAATAAGAAAATCAATAAATAATTTAAAATGTTTGTGAACTTTTCCCATTTTTTTACAATTTGTAAATGTTCAAAATGTGTTAAATATATTTTCTAAACTCTCTTTCTCACACATTCTATCTATCTATCTCTTTCTGTCTCTCTCTGTCTTTATCTCTCTATTAAAAAGACTTTGCCACAAAGAGTTAAACTTTACGTCTGTTTGCATGTATGTATGTATGAAAATGTATGTATGTACTTAGCTATTAAACTCTAATAAAAAAACTCCCAATAAGTACTGTTTTATCTGGCATACCTAACAACAGAAGGATTATACAGATCAATTATACATTTCCTCAAAATGATTTCTAATATCTTTGAGTTGCATTTATACTATCAAAACTGTAATATTGATTGCTCGAAACACTCTCATTGAGTGTCGTATATCGTATATGATATATGCATATGGCATATCGTATATATGGTATCGGACAGTCTATATCGTATATCGTAAATGGTAGATCGTGTATGGTACACCAAATATATATCTACCACCTCATATCGTATATCACATTTGATTTATCGAATATTGAATATCGTACATCGTACATCATATGTCGTATACCTTTATGTCGTATTACCTTTAATTTTTAAAATTTGGTGTATTTGTGTTAAGGAGATGAGAACCGAACTAACCACGACCAGTTCGACTAAGATCTATCCAACTGATCCGCGAGCGCAACTAAATAGGGTATTATACGATAAGGTCATGCATATAAGAAAATTGTAGTGGAATGAATATGTTAGACGCAATTTAGATGTAGTCAGTCGTAGGCGTAGGCGTAGGAGTGTGTAGGAGTGTGTGCATATGGGTTTTTATACCAAAAGATAGTACCATTTGAAAGTACTTATTGTAAGTATGGTTTTTATATCGGAATCCGCTGAATACGCCGGATATCACAATTCATTATAGACTTGCGCTATGCATACATACATACATACATATATGCGTATCTATATACGGTCTGTCAGTCAGTCATGTGCATAGGAAATGAGTTGAGATCGAATATCATATTTTGTATGCACCAGAGAAAATCGTAACCTAAATGAAACTCAAATAATATAAATAAGTAAAGTGCTTGGCTTTGTGTTAAATCGCTGTTGAATGTACATGTACAATGGATATTAAAATATGATGGCATTGAATTACATTTCAAGAACAATAGAAATCCAAATTCAAAACAGAACGAATGATAATGAAATAAACAATACAACAAATTTCAATTGCATGTTTTATTTGAATCCGATTCCAGTTCCAGCGTCCGTCCATACAATAAATGCCAATTTGATCTTCATGATATATAACATATGTATATTCAGGATATGTGAAAGGCTCTCCAGATGTGTATATTTGTGATTGTGTTAGGCATTGATTTCCTCAATAGTCTCCTCCACAATTTTAGGCAAACCTCTGTATGTCGTCTCTGGGGGATCATCTTTCTCGTCTCTCTCAGCTTTCTGGGCAAGCTCGTCCTTCTCTATCTTCTCCAGCTGCAGTCGCTTGCAACGCTTCTGGGCCAGGGCGTTCAGCACCGAGACCGCAAAGTAGACCACAATGAAGAGGGCCACCAGCTGGAAGACATGCGCCACTATACCTAACCCAGTGTACGCGGCGTCGCTCTCTTGCTTATCATCGCTCATCTTGAGGTGCATGCGCTGCTTGGTGGAGGTCAACAGGTTGTGGAGGGGTGCCTGGATTTTGGAGCCAATGAAGGGCACCTGGCCGAGGGCCTTGACCAGAACCCCAATCAGATCGTCGCTGAATGCCACAATCACTATCAGCTGCTGTATGTTGGACTTGAACACCGCCTTCCCGATCAGCGTGGCCACAAAGAACTTCCAGAAGGGCACGAGGAAATGGCCGCAGGCCACTCCAGCTAGATCAAAGAGCGGATTCGGCACGCTGGCACACAGCAGAATGCCAAAGAACCCGATGCGCAGCACCACGCGCTCCACCAGGAGCTTGCTCTTGCCAAATAAAGTCAGACGCTTCGACTGCTCCGGCTGACTCTCCTCCTGCAGCAGAGACTTGCCGGAGAGACGCGCCGCCCTGGCCATGAAGTAAGGCGGCAGCTCACCCAGGGCTGTGCCCACGCCCCAGAACATTGTCTCGGTGCGCACCTTTGACAAGATCTGCCAGATGTTCGGCATTTCGCGTATGTATGGCTCCTTTGGACATATCTTCTGATCCGGATACGGCGGCACCGGAAAGTCCAGTGAGTGGCATTCGTAGGCGGCCAGAGTAACGGCAGCCAGATGCGGTCCCAGATACAACAGAAATGTGTGCAGCCCAGTGCCAAAGCCCACCGAGGACAACAGGCCCAGGCCCATCCAGTAAACGATAAAGCCGAGATTTTGACGTCCCATCTCCATATAGGATGCATGCGGTCCTGGCAATTCGTAGATAATCATCAGGGCCAGCAGGCTTCCCAAGAAACGGCGGTTCAAGAGGCGCGATCCAAGGTCAATCAACATTCCGAACAGCTCTTGGATGCTGTACTGCAGAGTTTTCAATGGTCGCCGCCAAACCACCAAAGACTTGCACTCCAAGCAATCCTTTTCATGGACTGCATCTTTTGTGGCGGAGCTAGCTAAGCAAGCCTCAGCATTAGAAGACATCCTTCTTCTCATCTCACTAAAAGTACAAAAACAAATGCTTGTTAATATTATAATTTCTTTCTACCGACTGAACGAGCCCGTATTGAAATATATGATAAAGACAACCAAAGGGGTCTTAATTACATTTCTTTTGTCTGATTTAGTAGTCAAAATGTATAATCATTAAATGAGAACAAAGCGAAGGGAAACGAGCCTTAGTATTTAAGTGTCGAGAAATTCTTTTAGCAATTCTTTTCAGAAATTTTGTATTGTTAGATTGAAATATATCGGAAAGGAATCTAAGTAATTCACTTTACATTGCATTTTTTGCTTGATAAAATTGTCAAAATGTTAAATTGAGTTGAAACGAATGTTGTTTTTCAACTTTCTGCGCTTCTGTAACACCTGCAGCTCTACAATGTAGAGTTTATATTCATAGCATAACGCATAACGTATCTTAGTCGTTTCATTAAGTCATTTTGCAAATTAACACAACTTTACGTTCTCAACAGAACTGATGAAATATTTCACTTTTAATACGAACTTGGTATATTAAACGAATTTATCTAAAAGAATTACTGGGATCTAATGGTCTTCATAATTATTCAATATAATAATATTTTATGTTTTATTAATTATGAATCCAAGTAAATATAATGAATATTATATATGTATGTATGAATATTATTTATTATATTAATTGTGTCTGTCATCAATTAGTTCCTGCGCCGAAAAATTTAATCGCTTTGCAGCATCCACTGGGTAATTGAATGCTTTTGCCTGCCAGAAGGTCAAAGGACCCGGAGGTTGAAGTTTTAAGCGGATCCTAGCAACGCCATCCTCACAAGCGTGTCTGTACGCGCTAATTTGCGTTATAAACTTATCAAGTTCTCTTTTATCAACATCAGTCACAGCATTTGCCTGCAAGCCTTCTAGCAATCGAGCACTATGCGAAAACAAAATTGAATTAAGCATATGATGAAAGGATTGTTTGAATGACCTACATATTCATAAAGTGGACCTCCTCAAGGCGCAATGTATTCACCAGCGCTAGTAAGTGACGCAAAGGGAAAAGATTATTGCGTGACCGTGTGTCTCCGGATTCTGTACGTAGCGCAGCCAATCTATTCACTAATAGCTCCAGAGAGGCATTGAATACGTGTAACCTGAGCAACCACGCGTCCTTTGCACTAGAATTAGCCTCCACAAGACGCATGTGGGCAGTCAGAGCAGTTGTGAAGCGTTTATTTTTGCGAGACGCATTGTTAATGTGCAACTGGATGACAGTCAGGTTATGAGCATATGTAACAATATGTCTCTTTATAAGCACTAATATAAGCTGTTCCAACTCTCTGGTTATAGAATCAGGCGATGTTTTGCTCTGCAAAAGATCAATTTGTTAAATTTACACGATTTTGTTGGATTCGATATATACTCTTACAATTTTGTACTGCAATAAAAGCTTCCATACGCGATATGTTGGCAAAACAATTAGCTCATTTTCATGTAGTTGGCGGAATAGTAAGTACATCTCCTGAACGTAGCTCAAAGCTAGCGTATCACTGCGTGTGTTCAGTGCGAGCGTCACATCCGCGAGGCCCGCCGACAAAGTATCATAGGTGAGCGCATTCAAAGTCAGATTATTTGACAATCCCAAGTGCAGCTCGACAATGGCACAGAACAGAGACTTCGCCCGTGGCAGACTCTGCGGCAACTTGGACAACTTGCGAACACAGTCGTCGCGCAACATTTCAGCCAGCTGCGTGGACCTCGCTACGTGCTCGTGCGCATCCTCCAGATCATCACTTTCACAATGCAGCAGTATGAGCATCAAAGCCAAGCACTCGTAGCCATAAAGAGCTGCAACGATTTGCGAATGTACTACAATATAATAAATACATAAATTATCCATATATTAACATACCTAAATGCTCATTGGCAACATTTTCACGCAACATCTGGCTAGCTAGTGTTTCGTACATATCGCACACCTGATGGCCTCGCAGCTTCTTCTCTTTGATCATAGAATAAAGACAGCGTACGCAAGTGCCATACTTTTGCAGCAGCTCTTCTTGAGGGTTCTCCAGTTGGTGACCCATCATTTCGATGGTTATCTCTGCGTATCTGTCTTGCAAAGTTAGCGCCGCAGTTACCAGCATTTGCTCATTTCCTGTGACTTTTATCGACTGACTTAATTTTGTAAAAACGATTGCGAACTCAGCCTCGCTAAGCGTATCATCGTTCAGGAATATGTTTAGGCAGTGTTTCTCCAATGCGATCAGCTTTTCAAGCAAATACAAAATTAATTATTTCGAATGCAGTCATTATCCAAACCACTTACTCTCGATTTATGTTCTATCAGAGCAGTAAAGTCCACCGTGCTGTAAATGCCGTACATTATGGCACGAATCTCCATATTCTGCGCAGAGTCCGTCACAAGCTTTGGCCAGTGATGCAGCAGGGTGTGCACCTGATGCCTTGAAAATTCCATTTCGTTATATTGCTCTGTGTGATGCTCGAACAGTGCGCATGTGGCATGTGCAGTCAAAAGAAGGAGCTCTTCACGCACATTTTCATCATTAAGCACTTTCATATAATACTTAAAGTACTGCAGAGCTGGAAAGAAGTCCATCAGCTTTAGCAGATAGTTCTTTATAAGCGCCATGAACTGATCATGGCTCGAAAACTTTCCTGCAATACTCTGAGATTTTACAAAAGTTTCCAGTATGTGCACAAATATGTCCTGCTTGGAATATTGGCGGGTAGCCAATGTCACATAAAGCTCGGCTGCCGCTGTGCATACCGAAAGTGTAGCATTTGGTACTTCAAGCAAAACCAGCAAAAGTTGCTCCAGAAAGCGACGTGAGAATACGTCTGTGTTGACCAAGTGTCTAAACATTAAAGTGAATTAGTGTGTGTTTGTGGGCAAATCAGGATTAATCCTGTGTTCTTACCTCTGCAGTGTCTCCAAATAGCGAAGCGTTGCTAACAACAAAGGATTTTCGTTTTTCACTTTGAGCATTTCAAATTGAACTGCCAGAAACTTGTCCGTGATCAGTTCATTGGTAAGCAATCGCAAAATAAGATTGCCCGAGGCGTCACATTGTTTTCCCTCAGCGAAATAATCAAGCATCGATTCCAAAAATTGGTAAGTCTGAATGTATGTGTCCTTGTTTGACATCTGCAATGGGGAAATACGGTTGACCAGTTTCACTTTGATATATGTTTAAATATATGGAATGGAATTTCACCTCACAACAAAATACCCAATAGACAAAGTTAACAGCCGATTTCTTTGACCCAAAGAAGAGCTGAAAGTGTTCCTTAAACAGACCCATCATAGACGGCAGTATAAATTGGCACGCTTCCTTGAAGCTTTTAGAATATTGCTATTAGAAACAATTGATCTCACAGGCAGCCATCAAACTTACAATATACCGTAGCGTACTAGCACCGTGAGGCATAGGCAATTCTCTTCAAGCAGTTCGTACTTTTGCCCATAGTCGGGCAGCAGCTTCAGCAGGCCTTGCAGTATGTAGAAGGACATTCTGGCGAGGGGCTCGCATAGATATCGTATGATATCCTTCTGCTGCAATTTTCCAGTTATACTGCGAACCACCAAAGCCCAAACTTGCACCACACGCAAGTAACATAGAACAGGATTTGTTATGTCATAGAACTCTCCGACCAACTGCGAACTGGATCTATCCTGCGAAAGTGAGCGTTCACAATCTACCAACGATATTGGCAGTTGGTTGAAAAATAATTCCATGTTCTTCAGTACAAAGGGGACGGCATTAAAAATGTAATTTAGGTTGTCCGCACTGTACGGATGATCATAGGTGTGCTGGAATGCCTCGACGCTGACGTTGAACTTTAGGCCCAACGCTCTGAAGCATTGACCGACAAAATTATGCGACACTTTGTTTAGCCAATTCTTTGGATCGTTGGCTACAGCCTGCATGAAGGCGAACATGTACTCCGATGTAGCATACTGAAAAACAGATACCTTAATCATTTTGTAAGCGTAGTGATATCAACTCACATCTACACTAGCGCCAGTCGATAAAGCAGTCAAGAAATCCATTTTTGATGTAACACAAAAACTAGTTTTATTTTCTCAAACTAAAAATGTAAACTAAATGCTTAAATGTGATGCATCCCCACTGAAAACCCGTTAGCTTATCTAATGGCGGCAAAACTGCGATAGGCAATGCAAATCAAAGTATTGCGATAGTCGATAACATGCTGATAAATATCGCAAATGAGTCACACAAAAAAACACTATAAAACAGCAACAAGTTTCTCTTTTGGACTTTATTTGATCAGCTTTTTGCTTACAATTAAATTTTATCTTATTCTATTTTGCATTTCACTTAATCAGATCTCATGAAATGACGTAATTTGTTTTTTAAATGAAATTATCATTAATGAACATTCACATAATCACAAACGATATAACCACTAACTGGTTAGTGATATTACCCAGTTTAAATTTACAATTGTTCATCTGTCTAGGTAAATATAAATATACAAATTCATGTATATAATGAGGAAATATATATGAGTTTTCTTAAAATATTTTGAAATGCTCATAAGATCTGCACACTTTATTTCAACTTATTTATTTATTACCGCAAAAACCACACAGCATTCTATATATTAAAAAGCTGGTCGACAAATTATAAATTACATTTCCATATACAAGTCACTAACAGTATAAAGTTTTCTATAGTTCTTTTACTTATATTACATAAATACATGTAATTATAGTTTTTGATCAATTAGTTCAACATTTTGTTTTACAGCGAATTCATTGAAATATATTACTTCTTATGAGATTTCCGTTAATCTGCATATTTTTAAGCTTTTAGTGTTCATATATCGTTGCTGGATCTCACGAATATGCTATATATATCTTTATATCACTAAATGTACATATTTTTAATACGATTTCAACTAAACTTTTTACTATCGACCAAATCAATAGCTTAATTTAACTAATTTTGTCACATTTACTTTCTAAAGTTTAGAATAATAAGTTCCTAAATGCATTCAACCAAATGCTATTCAAATATTGATTTACTTGGATTGATATTGAGTTGAGTACAGGAAATGCAAGATATAGAAAAGCATTTTAGGGACTAGAGGATGCATATAGCTTTAACAAAAGCTGATTTCAAATTGCAAATACTTTAAATGCGCATCTTCGTATAAATAATCATGCAAATTTTTGTGGCTTTTATCCTATATAAGCTTGGAGGTCCTTTTCGGCTATTAGATAGTCGTGATGCAACAGGCACTTAAGTGACTACTCCCTGGATTGATTTCATTTCAATTGTTTGCCTATTATAAAAATGATGTTTTTGGTTTCAATGCTAAATACATCTTGTACTTAATGTCTCTTGACCTGCGACGAGATGCTAATATTTCTTCAATTGCTCGTACGTGATGAAAAAGATAATGTTCCAAGGACCCATTCGCACCCAAGTGGGTATGAAGCCCTTGTATAAAGCGAAAAGTCCTTCGTTTCGAATCGTCTGCACAGCACAGTCCAGACTTCCATTGTACAGTTTCGGTGTTGGGGCAGCTGCAGTAGCTATGCCACCACTCAGCATTGTCACGTGCCTTTGATTCATGAGGCGTGTCTGTGAAGCAAGGGGATATCTAAATGACCTTCTTTGGAACTGTATGGTTTTCAAACTTACCCGAATAACGTCTATTGGCGTCGAGGCAACGGCGCTGCCCAAGCTAGCAATAAAGCTCGAACTGTGCATACAAAATGAGAGTTGTTAATTTGTTTATCTAATTTCAATCACACTTACATAAAATGATTAGCGACGTGATCACCAAAGGCGCTCATTAGCTGCAGCTTGCAAAAGTCATAGACGGGCAGCTCAACAGATGCAATGACCACTGCCCGCTGTGCCGTGGGCCCCACCCCACGCCACAGTCCACGCACGCCCTCATATTTGTAGATCTCCTGGAAGCACCCGAAAAGACCCAGTGCGTCGGTGCCCTTGCCGTGCACCTGCATGCGCACCTTGAGCACATCGGTAGGATTCGCTATAGCAGATGAGATAGCGCCGGCGGACGCCGCACAAATAATGTTGCTCCAAACACGTTCACTTCCGTCGCTATTAGTCAGCAAACCACGTTCGTTAGCCAGCTTCTTGAGGGTATAATAACTGCCGAATTTGATAGTGCCATATGTGGCTTGCCTCAGCACTGCGGGCCAAATGCTGCAAGACAATATACCTCTTTAGCTTAGCTGATATCTCTAGCTATCGCAAAATCATATATACATATACACCATAGAAAACAAAGTCTAAGGGGTTACTGCTATGCTTATCAAGTGGCCAGGGCCAAAGTTTCGTGTGATGTACACTTGATGGATTATAACACGAGACGTTTTATTTTTAGTTCAGTATACAGCTAGACAGTCGTTATCACTACGCTCACACACACACACACACACATGCAAATACACATCATTAAGTGCACAATTTGCACGTTATTGGGTCACTTAAATGCATTTGGCAATTGTGAGTGCAGTAAATCTCACCCAGAATATAATGCGCGCAGTCCCTCCTCCCTTGATATTTTGACAAACGCATCGGTCATGCCACGGTATCGCAACTGCGAGAAGCTGTGGTCGATTTTCTGCCCTTGAATTTGAAGACGGGTCTTTGTGGTGTCAATGGGAAACGTGCCTGCATAAAAATAGACATGTGCGTGAGCATGAGACCAATGTTTGTTTACACCAATAGTTGTTGTCTCTGTTTGTAGCATAGCCACAGCATATCATACTTACCGAATTCGGCGGTTATGGATGCTAGACCGCCATAAACAAACGGCCGCCAGTCCTTGACCTCAGCCATAGCCACAGCAGCAATTGCACCTGTTGCAATTCTTTGGTGACGGCTCTTTAGATTATAAAAAAAAATAAATAAATACAATATCACGCAACAAACATGCCGTATTCGCGGAAAATTACAGTGGTCGGACAGTTATGCGATTAGTTATTCCAGTTATACGATATAATCGATAGCACGACACTGTGTGCAATGATTTTATTCATCGATATTTATCATTTTACACACTGCTACACAACGTATGAATGAAACATGCAGCGGGAAATTTAAATAAAAACTCAACGGTTTTTCCCTCTTGAATATAGTGAAATGATATTACCAATAAAAATTAAGGGCAATCTAACTCAAAGAAGTAATACATTATAAATCAGTAAACAAAATCAATATGCTTTACTATTTATATGCTATACATTTTAAAAATAAGAAAATATTGTCTAATATTATTCAATATATATGCTGATAAAGTTCATTTTGTTAAAACTAATCGAAGGCCTTTGAATAGAGTTGTTTAGCTGCTCTATAGTTGCTCTTGCATGATAAACATTAAAATTGCAATCCATGTGTGCAAAATGAGTATGTGTGAGTGCGGCTGTCTATAGATCTGGTAGCTCGGCCGATAAGAAAGCGCAATCGATTTCCCGTCCTTCTTTCCAAGTGTACTTTTTTCGGCGAAAAACCGTTTTTAAGTCTTTTGTTAACGCAGCATAATGATTTTCGAGACTGCTATTGAGAAAGTCATTGAAAAGATCAGCTTTTCGGAGCTGGATTACCAGACCTGCATCAGCGATGTGAAGTATATTGTAGATGCGCTGGACGCGGCTTCAAAGAATAAATCCACATTTTTCAGCAACATTTTCGCCGAACTGGGAAGCACAGGTATGGGGTGCACGTGTAGTATAACATCAGCAAAATAAGTTACATAAGTGAAATCTGTTGCAGTGACATTTATGAAAGGCAATGCTATTGATTCAATGCCCGACTTCAATTACTTTCTGCCCTTCAAAATGCCACTGAAAATGAAGCCAATTTTTTATGTTAATAATCGCAAAAGCTTGCTGCGTCTCAAGTGCAAGGAGAAGCACGTTCTTGTAGAAGACGGATTTGTCTCGGCTGAATGTTTCCACGTTCTGCTCAGCAAGCACGTGAAGAACATACTCGAAGAGACGAAGACAATTGAGTGCTCCGGCAGAGTCTATAAATTGTCCTGGCACATGCGCAAGATGGAAAATCAGATCTTTGCGTACAACATCAAGGCGGACCAAGTGAATGCAGACGAGCAGGATCCGATTATAATGACATTTGATTTTGTGCCCGTCTTCAAATTTCTGATGTACGAGACTCCGCTGCCCAACAGTGTGGCCGACAATGTGGAGGGTGCTCGCTACTGGATAATCTGCAGTGCCTTCATACAGGATGAGATTTCAATATTCTCCAAGGTCACCCCATACTGGCAGATGCTGAAGCCTGCTCAGAAAGATAAGGCTAGAAACACAGTGCGTTTGATTAAGGCTATAGCCAAAAAGCACCATGAGGAGCACTTTCTGGAGGTCTGCAGTTCCAAAAGTGAAATCTTCTGGCGTATCCAGGAGCTCGGAGAGGCCTACAACAACTATAGTCAACCGATTTTTTTCCTGGAAGTATGTAGTCAGCCAGCAACTGAATACCTAACGGTCATATCCTAATATTTGATCATTTCCTCCATTGCAGATATACGCTCGTATCATCAATAATATTATTACCAGGTTCCGCCCGTTCCTGAATTTGACCAAGAGTTTCAAGTTTCTGAAGCCATTCGATGACGTCCTACACATCAATGAGTTTTTGAAGACCCTTCAGATGAATCGGGAAATCGACATGAATGTAGTGCTCCCAATTTTTGGCCTGCCTAACGAAATATGATTACAAATTTTTGTTTATTTTTATGCTGATGTCTTAACTTCAGTTTTCAATTTATCTTTATGTATGTATGAATAGATGGTTTAGACACCATAAACAAACTAGAAATCAAAACAAACTACGTCGTGCATTCGAATTTGGCATGCAAATTTTATCATATCACAGCAAATAAAATGGAATTTGAAAACAAAGCAAAAATGAAAAAAGATGGGAATTCCTAAGGCTCGTCTGCTTCGATCTGCACAAATCTGGGTTCTCCGGCCGTAGCCTTGCCTTTGTCGAGCTCCGTTTAGTTGACAAATCTGACCAATTAAAATTGTATTTGTATTTCTTTATGCAGAGATTTTATTGGGGCTTAGGCTTGTATACATATATGTATGTATTTTGGGTTATCCACGTCATTCATTTTAAATTCAATCGCCAGCCAGCCGGATCGTGAAAGTCGACGGCGTCACTGTGGCGTCAGAAAGTCGCCGGCATTTCGGACTAGTTCCACTATGCTTAGTGAAAAGGCGAGCGGTACGAGCGGGATGGGATGCTGCTCTGCTGCCGCTTGGGTTAAACCCGAATCAAGATATATTATTCAAACGGAGACTGCTATTTGCCAAAAAAGAAACAACAGAGCACAGAATTGGATGAAATAATAATTGATTGGCTCAATATCGCGTGGTTAAAATATAATTTAATTTTCATTAGTTTACAGTTAATTTAGTCTATAATAATATCCCAAGCGTCTGTCATCCAATTCGTCAGCCGCTAAGTGATTTTTGCCAGTGGAGCGTTCAGGTACTAAAACGCAACGCGTGGGACGGAACACAGACGAGAGAATACAGACATTAGCCACTGTGTGCGAAAAAAATTAACAAATTAAATCGACCGTGTTAGGCTAATTTGGTCAGAGAAAAAGTGCTCCATTCCCACTTACGAAATGCTCAAAGTGGTTCTAAGCCCTTAAGACCTTTAAATATTTTATGATTGACTATTCATAAATGACATCCCATGCCATATCTATCCATATCTATTGGACATTTTTGCTTTTCTTTTGCTGTGTGCTCAAATTAGAGCCTTGCTGTTCCCCTCTAGACGTGGAGGCGCAGTTGCCGTCGTCTATGAACAAGGGCTGGCTGCTTTTAATGTCCTTCAATTCTTCCTCAGAGGACAGATGCGATGCCAACGACCCATGGCTTGTCGCAGGGTGTCCCGATGACCGACGGCTTATGCTAGACGCGATGGACACCCAGCTCTCATCAGATGCAATCGCACTGTTCCCGGCATAATTTCTGAGGCAAGTGCATTGGACAGCTTCCGAGTGCGCATCGTTGGTCCTCGATTGTGTCTTACTGTTAAGCATTGGCAGTATATCTTCTGCATGACTTCTGGCAAAATAGTGATTATTGTACTCCTCAACGAGGCCCAGACGCGTTGCGATACCTAGCAGCGTTTGAATCTTTTCCTTAAAGTCTTTTGGATCGGCGTCAGGCATGTTGGTGAAATGGACCAGGTGATCCACTGAAACGGGTTCGTTAATTCTCTTTAAGCACTGAACCAGCTGCTTAATAATAGTATTCAGTGGTTGATCAGACATTATAAAATTTTTTTTCGTTTTTCGATTTTTATAAAATTAGAAAATAAAACGTTACTAAGCGCCTACAATGAAACTGAAATGTGTATGATTTGGGCTAGACCTGAATTCTCGAATCTGTGTATGAGTTTCAGTTTTAAATTCAGGCTCACTACGATAGATGTAGCTCGATAGATTTTTCGATAACACTTGCGACAGACACATGAACTAAATCGTAGGGCTATAAATCGCAATTTGCAATTCAAAATTCAAATTTTTCGATAACTGAAAGTTTATTTTCTCATGCCACTTCACATTTATAGTTTTTCAGCTCTACTATACCAGAACTAGTTCAGATTGCAGTGAAGCTTCTAGAAATTAAGAACTTTTCTTGGATTTGATGGCATAAATATTTTATTGATGACATACATACATACTATGCGACTGCGTACATATCAACTGGAAATGAATTTATGATATTACTATGCCAGAAAATAGGAATAATAACTATAAAAACAAAACAAAAAAATTGTCGAATTCGCAGAATTTATCGTGGCGTCTCCGAGACGGAGCTCGCGTCAAAAATTCCTGCATAATTAGACACAAATCGGAGTCAAAATGCTGCGTTCACATTTCGACCGGGAAATAGATTTTAAAAAAACGTCTATAGACCGGACCGGTCTGGACGGTAGCGACGTCGGCGACGTGTAATAAAAACTTCACGCAGCGCTCCATCAAGCGATTAGCACATGGCAGAGGCTGGAGCCTAGCACTGAGACGACAATGGAGGCCAGATGGAGATGGAAGTGGAACTGGAGACTCAGACGAGAGCCTAGCAACGGCGACTGATAAACAAAACCACTCAAAATTAGTTGATGGATTATTGTCAATTTCTTTGGCGCCAGACTTTTAGCTTCTGCTCGCATGATTTTTGTATGCGGATTTCGTAGCTCGGGATTTTTCGATAAATATGCAAATTGAAGTTAAATTTATTAATGAAGTTTGCAACGAAATGACTACAGAAATTTCTTTCCCTATCACTCGGTTCCCAAACAATTCTGGGGAATACCTAAACAAAATGTTGATCCTCATATAACAGCCCAAAATAGAGGAAAAAGAAACAACAAAGATTAAAACAAAATACAATTTTAATATCTTTGGCTAAAAGCTTTCAACTTATTTGTTTTAATTTGGAATTGGATGGGTGACTAGATAAACGTATCATATACAGCTATACCATTAAAAGATATTTCAATTTATGTGGCTGACAAATCTGATGGGAACATTGCAGTCGGCGGTTAGTTCTAATTAAATTTTATTTTTCTCGAATTTGCTAAATTATGCAAACTTTAAATCTTGTTGGAGAGTAGGTCAACCTTTCAAATCTATATCCAAAACTGCAGAGTCTACATTCTTCCGATTTGTCATACTGCCAATACTGAATCTATGGCATATATTCATAAATCTGTAGAATCATCTCATCTCATCTGCTACTAATTTAATTTAAATCTTAGGGCTTCATATGAACAGAAACCGCTAGTGAAGGCTGAGCATTTCTGAAAATAAATATATTCTCTCTTCGCTAAAATATTGAAAATAGATCAAGTAAATAAGATACTCTAATTGACACTTTTGATCCAAGTGATTGATATAACCGAATTCCATGAAATCTAAAGCATTAAACTCTATTCTTCTCCAGACAATATGTAATTCACACAGCCTTTCTATACTTATATGCACATCTGTATATCCAAAAGCTAAGGCAAAGTATTAAAATTTTCTAAATACCATGTTCTTAAATATTATTTTATTTAAAAAATATTATATTAAATAATTCTTACTGTTTATATAACGCATTTCGTATTTCCACTCAGACGATTCAGAAGTGATGTGGGTCTCATATCTATGGACGCCAGCCTATTTATAAATACTTTTCATCACTCTAGGATATATGCACATACATATTTATGTATATACACATGTATTATATATAGATTGTTTCTCATTGTACTCAGCGCACGTCCGATGAAATTAATCAGTAATTAATTGTTCACAAATCGTTTAGTAAACACGATACGATGCCTATGGGGCAGGGGGGCGGAAGGAGGGGGTGCGAGGGAAAGGCTGTGAAGAGAACCTAAAGACTTGCTACTGTATGCGGCGTAGACTGTGTTTTAATAAACAATTTGTTACTAATTATGCGTCACGTCAAAACAAAAACCTCAACTTTATAAATATTTATCAATTTGTGTTTATTTAATTTCTCGTATTTTTTTTATCGCATTGTTGTTTTTGCTGTGTTTTGTTTTGTTTGTTTTCTGTTTTCTGTTTTCTTTTAGTTACAATGCCACATTGGCAGAGCGAGCACGTAGTCCAAAAATGAGCAATAACATTAATACGAATCAACAATAAATCAGCTATAAAACGGCTGCTCCGAGTGGAATTTTTAGCATAGTCGTCGCTCGTCCACTCGCCCCTCCCACACCTCACACCTCTTCGCCTAAAGCTGAGCTGTACCCGGTCATAATTAATAAATTCCAGCGTGCGCCGCCAAACTGAATTCGCCGGGCCAAGGCAATGTCAAAAAGCAACGGCGACGGCGACGGCAAACACAACCAAACAAACACAAGCACAACAAATTGACGTCACACGGTCGTCGCTGCTGGAATCGCCTGTCGTAGTTGTTGTTTGTTGCAAGTGTGACATGCGTATCGGGCCTGGGAACGGGTTAAACGTGTATTCAGAGCCCCAAAGATACAAACAAATGAGAAGCCCCAAGCAACAAAACAGAATGAAACATCCAAACAATCGCATCAGAAACACTTCTCTAGCCTAAGCTTCCAATACAAAAGCATAAAGCATAGAACAGTCTGTTCGCCCAATTGGCTTAGATCTAATAGAACTGTCGGAAAATCCAATTGGTTGACAATTCGGAAATTTCAGATAAGCGCGATGTGTGTAGTATAAGATTTAAGAAGCTGCTTGCCTTTACTAAGTATACATCAAGAAAGACGGGCAATGCCGGACACAGATAATAGGTATTTAAACTCTGGTATGCAATAAAGAGAGGAACAAAAAAAAAACAGAAGACAACAGGCGACTAGTTTCCATTAAGCGATACGCCCCCTGACGGCCAACGGCGTCAACTTGGCGTCAGTCGAATGGGATAATAAGCACTGCTGGAAGACGGTGGCTCTACTGCAAGGCGGGTTCATCAAGCCCCTGTCAGGACCAATTAAAACACACTCTTGTACTCATGTATGTGTAAGTACATATGTATGTATTTGAGCACAATGCAGCCTCAGCAATGTCTATGTGTATGCTTTCACATGCATATGTATGTACATACATATGTATGTATAAAAATAATAAACATATCAAATCAAACTGCTGGCGATGATTAAACAATAAGAAACTCATTTACGAAACGATCAGATTGCCATTAATGGAAAGCGGCAGACTGCGAGAATGATTGCGAGCATTCCAAAACGCCCCCAAACCAGCTAAATCCGCCTACTGCGTCCAGACGGATTTAGATAAAACCACCGGCGAGCCGTTGCCATTTCGAGCGATCGACCAATCAATTATACAAACTGCAAATAATGCAAAACAATGGAGACGAAGCGTGGGCGAGCCATAGAAGAAAAACAAGAATGGCGGACGCAGACTGTTCGAGCTAAGTAGAGAAAAAGCATTTTGCCGGCAAGGCGAATACTCTGTAACCTACACACACAGACGCACAGGCAGAGCTACATATGTATGTATGTATGCAAAGTGCAGAGATTTATGGTGCGCGTTAGGCTCGGAATAACCCAAGACGCAAAAATGTGAGGCGAAAAAGCTAAATCAAAAAATAAAAATAATAAAAAAAGAAAAAAGCGAAGCAAGCAAACAACGCAATCAAAAAGAAAACATGTGCTTCGCGAGCCCCCTGCGCACAAGAGAGTGTGAGCGAGCGAGAGAGGGAGAGCGAAAAGCAGGTCTGCGAATTCGCTTAAATATGAGCGTCACTGGCCGCTGTAGCTTCAGTTGCTCACTGACAAGTGCCCAGTGCAAAGCTCTACGCGCATTGTGAACAAAAATAAATCCAAGTGGAAAGAAAACCAATTGCACAATCAATTGCAAACCTATAGAAATCTACAAATTATTCATTTAATACTCAACTAAATACAAGCACAGATAACCAAACTCAATATGTACGCGGAAAAAGTTTTTATCGCACTCGCGCTCATCGCCTGCCTCGCCTGCATTGCCGAAGCGGCTGTCTACACGCAGCCCGCGTTCCTTCATCCTGGTTAGTACTCATCTCCAAACCTCCCATTAGAGACCAATACAGACAGAAGCCCTAATTAGCTCAGGTTCTTTGTGAGGTTAAATGCAAGTTAAACAATTTCGACTCGATAAAAAATCTTAATTGCAATTTTTAAAATGCGAATTATACGTCATTGGCAAGCGCATAATTAAAATTTTAATTAAAAATACTTGTGTTGTTGTCACAAACGACCTTTTCCAACAACAATAAAGAAAGAGCGAATCGAGCTAAAAGCAGTTGGCTATATAAATGATTGACTTATTGTTCAGTTTGAGCAAAGTTTGATTTTTTGTTTGTGTTACAGCGAGTTTGTAGCGCTGTTTTCTTTGTTTTAATTGTAACTGTTTGGAGGTCGTGTTAAATGTGTTTTTTTTTTTTTTTTTTTTTTTTGCCTTTTTTCACCTTTTTTTTTTTTTTTTTTTTTTTTTTTTTTTGCGCCTTGTTCAACTCTATTTTTATTTGTATCTTATATTTGTTTTGCCTCATCTTTTTTTGATTTGTTTTTGTTTTGCTGTTGTCGTTGACGTCAACATACAAATACAAAGATATCATAACAAACAACGCAAAACAGTCAGCCAAATTAGCAACAACAAACTTTGTTATTTTTTCATGTTTCTTTCTTTTGCTTTTGCTACAATTTTTCGTTGGGTTTTTTCGCGTCTGCCAAAAATTAGCATAAGAAATGTGCTGATTTTTAATTGCTGTCGCCTTCGTTGTTGTTGTTTTTGTTGATCATTTATTAACAAATTTGAAGCGCTAATTTGCATAGCTATGCGGATTTGTAACACAAATGTCGCCAAGTCTTGATAAAAATATTTTTATCTCGATTTATTTGAGTGCGATCTCTTATTTTTTATTTCTTACTTTTCATGAAGGTCGTCCAACTGCTGACCGGGTTTTCGACTTTCGGTTTAACGATATAAAAATAGTCGATGAGTTCACAGCGAATTTCTTTCAGACCCGTAAATCCAGCAAATCGAGCAAGAAAAAAAAAACACAAAAAACAATCCAAAATGAGTCTGCGAAGCTCTTTAAGATCGCGACCTAAAATGGCAATTGGACGTGCTGGAGTATCATTAATCAAAGTTGGTTGTAGCCGACGGCCAATTGTTATAAATAATAATAAAAGCGAGGCTGTCAATTGTTTGCTCGCAAGTACCGCGCGAGTGTAGTTTAATGAGAGAGTCGCTCGTGACTGGCAAGTTCGTCGCTTAAGTCTTTCGATTGTGTTGTGCCCAAAATAAAATTTAAAAGCAACTTCTCAGGCATCATATAGAGCTCATATATATTTATAGCCATGTATATATATATATGTAAGCCAGAATATATAGAGATAGTTTTTGCATAGCTGTTGCTACGACTTCCTTGTAATAAAGCACGACTTACTCACACACACACACACACACACACACACCCAACTTCCGCTTTATCTGATTCTCATTATTCTTCTTCTTATTATTATAGCTCATCCCGGCAAATGCTACGATCGGCTAACCAGACGCGCAATGCTGCCCGACAAGGAGTACAAGCCGAAGGGCATCTGTGCCGCCATGACGTGCGACATTGAGGCGCGTCAGATCAATATCGAGACCTGTCCCTACATCGAGATGCCCGGCTGCGAGGAACTGCCCAGCGACCTCAACTGGAGCTTCCCCAAATGCTGTCCGCAGTTCAAGTGCGTCGACTTTAAGACCGGCAAGGAATTCATTGTCTCCGTTTAACTGCAACAACACAATAACAACAACAGTGGAGCGCTGCAGCTCCACATATCTCTCAAAAACGGGAACAGTGCCAAGAGCAAACGGGGGGAGGGGCGGGGCCTGTGCCTAAAACGTGATTTTACATAAAATGTATTCGTAGTTCTCTAGATAGTCTGACTGTGTGAGTGAATGAGTGAGCGTGAGTGAGTGTTTGGTTGTGTGAGCGAGTGTATGTGCGAGTGTATGTGTGCATGTTTGATTGCTTGTGTCGCGTGAATGTTCCCAATAGGCAGGCATAATTTATTTATTATTATAACTGTATATACCTCTCTATGCATATATCTAAGGAGAAGCAATTTGCATTCATTTTTCCTCTCAATCATGAACAACAACATAATTTATACTATAATTAATAGTTTGACTCTGCTGTTTTTGACTTAATCAAAAACTTTGGTATGCGATATTTGCAAATGTATAAATTGTTTAGTTAGCAATACATAAAAAATATAAAATATATAAATACATATAAAGAAATATTAAATTAAAGAAATATTAATATTTAAAGCTTGTTTTTCATTTGAAATCAGTCCAAAAAATGTTATTCGTTCTCTGATCCAATCAAATTTCGTCATTTCCATATTTAAGCATCTTCAAGAGGCTCCAACGTCCACTGGTCTTACGCGCTTTATTTGGGCTTTGTCAACAGCGGCGGTAGTCAAAACCGTTTTTATTCAATTAGCAGTGCCGACGCCGCCTCGACTTTGCCGGCTGATTCATCTTGGCCTTTTAATTTGGCAAACATCGCACATTCCGCTATAAAAAAAAATTACTCCAAAAGCGCTCTCCAAATACGAGCAAAAGTTTATTGGACCCCTGGGCCGTACATGATCTGCATACATAACTGGCAAAGCTAAAAATACACATGACTTTTGGCAGGAAACAATATATACTTATATATTCATATATGTATGTATATATAGATATATAAATATGCCGTTCGGAAATGCTTTGTGGGCTATGCAAATAGAAGCAGTTTCATAGACATACGTGTTAAAAAAAACAAACACCAATGTGAGTCAGAGTCTAAAGTGACTAGCAAAAGTTGTAAACAAACAGCAGACACGCAGATAATGCGAATTTACTGTCTATAAACTAGGTGAGGTTGACTTTCACATATACAATGTATAGCATTGCCAGTGGTATTGCCAAGGCTTCAAAGTTGGCGCCTTACTTATGAATGTTTTCCAACACTAAAATTAAAACTGTTGCGGCACAAAGCGGTGTGGTGGCTGCCGATAACATAACATTCGATAGCTTACACATATGTCATCGTTAACATAGTTTGGGCGTTGTTTTCGTCGCAAAAGTGCAATTGTTTCTTATTTATTTTGTTTATTAATTATTTTCAATTTCATTGAGTTATCAATAAAAATGCAAGCGCAAACCTCGCTTACTGTGTTGCTGCTAATAGTAGGATTTGTACACGAAGGTACGTCAAAAAATTTTCCAACAGGCTGAAGAAGAAGAAGAACAAACAAGTCGTAAACATTTTCAAAGTGTGAATCCATTAGAGCTAGTTATACCTCACTAATTGATGACTCGTTGTTAACAGGTGCCGCCATTTGGTGTTACCGCTGCACCTCCGCAACGCCCGGCTGCGCCGACAATTTCAACTGGCGCGGCATTGGTTTCCTGGGCGAGCAATGCCCCGAGAGCAACGACATCTGCGTCAAGGTGACGGAGCGCCGCGGAGCCAAGGAGACAATAACACGGGATTGCCTCAGCGCTCTTAACTTCCGCACCGACATTCCAGCTGATAAGTACGAGGGCTGTCGCCCGGCCGCCAAGGATGTGCGCCTGGCCCACTACGTCAACCACACGATCAAGGAACACGATGTGAAGCGCGACTTCTTCACGGAAACAACGTTCTGTTTCTGCTTCCTCGACCATCGCTGCAACGGAGCCAGCAGCACTAAGACCTCAGCCATAGCTGCTGCTGCTGCTCTCCTGCTGCTGCTCGTCGGCATCTACTGATTAGCACCAAAACAAAGTGCCGAAGTGCCTTAGCTTTAGTATAACGACAGCTTAATTTAAAGCTCGAATCTCGTCCAGCCACAACATTCCGTCCACCAACGCTCTTTGTACAATTTAAAATTACAATTCTACAATTTTACGGTTTCTCTATTTACCGAACTATTTATGTAATACAAATTTTTACAATATATATAACATAAGTGAAGTCTCAATTCAGCGCCTGCTTGGGAGCCCGGTAATCGTATTTGGCTACTTCGGGATGTGCGACCAAGTGCTCCGCATAGGCATCGGCCAGGCGCAGGCACTCAGCCACAGACAGCTCGAAGGGTCGCATCGTATCCTTAACATCGGCGCGCTGGAAGAGCGCCTGTGTCGTCTCCTCTCGGCCTTCTAGAGGCAGCAGCGTGCTGTAGCCACGACGACAATATTTCTGACGCATGCTGAAGATGTGACGTACGACGCGCTCCACGAGTGGAAAGGGGAGTTCCGTCTTGGGTCGTTTGAGTGGAATCACTTTGACGACTCCAACGTCCACCTGTGGCTTCGGCACAAACGCCTTGCCCGGTATGATGAACTTGAGCACCGGCTCGGTCCATATTTGCGACATTACCGAGAGGCGACAGCGTTGCTCGCTACCCACCTGGGCGCAAATGCGCTCAGCCACTTCCTTCTGGAAGGTGAGCGTCATGCAGGTGTCATTTCTTCTAAACGCCCCGCGTCTCCGGGACAGATCGTCAAACCAATTGATGAGCAGCCGTGTCGAGATGGCAAATGGTAGATTTCCTATAAGATGAAGGCGCTGCGTGGTATCGGGCACATGTTGTTCGATGTTGAAGCGCAGAATGTCTTCGTGATAGATCTCCACTTCTATGTCCAATGGGCGGGCGCATTCGCGCAGCAGCTGCAGCGTTTCGGTGAACCGGGCATCCTTTTCAACTAGCAACAGACGCTGTGGCTGGCGACGCAGAATGGAACGCGTTATGCCTCCGGGTCCCGGACCCACTTCCAAGACAATGTCATTGTTATCTATGCGGCCAGCGGACTTGACAATTTTGTCCGTTAGTCGCTCGTCCATAAGGAAGTTCTGGCTGAGCTGCTTCATGGCCTGCAGCTTGTACAGCTTTACCAGATCCCTGATGCTGGGCAGCGGCGGCAGACGCATGCCGCTACTGAGGATGCGCGCTGAGGCTTGAGACATCTATGGACGAAGCGAAAAAATTAGTTCCAAAGTGCTGACCAGAGATCACCGAGTACTTACAGTGTTATTAGTAGTTACGCAACGATTTTAGAAATGATGTAAAATTGAAATTGAAGAACAAGAGCTTACAAACTAACTAAGGCGATACGGAGTAACAGGTGCGAGGATCAAATTTAGTTGGTGTTTACTTTCTTGGGCTCCTCGAAGTCGTCGAGGAACTTCTCCTGTTGCACCGAGAATATGGAGTAGCCGTAAATGGCCAGAACTGAGAAGCCAAGCGCTCCGGCTGTTAGCAAGTTGTTGCGTCGCACACGTTTTAATTTCTGGACACGATCCAAGTTCTGCTCCTCGATCAATTTCATGAACTGCAGCTGGGCTTTGTCTAGCTTGGGCGCGGTTTCTCCGTACTTGATTTTGGGTCCTTGTTCCGATGCCGACATTATTGCTCAAATCGGGTTTAGTTTTTTAACAGTCTGACTGATAAGGGCTTTTCCTATTTAGATTACAAGTTTCGGCAAAAATTATGAAACTCACATGAATTAGTGGTGTGTTAGAGCATTAATGATATGTTATTATCGAATACTCGATACAAAACAGCCGGTGAGTCGATAGGTCCTATCGATGTTGCTAACACAATGTTTAGCAACAATTGCACAATGTAAGCAACATAGTGCCTTCTGATTGGGGGCTCGAGTGCAACGTGAAAAGCTGTGTGAAGCAGTTCGTGGAGTTTGTGGAGCTGTTCGCTAGCATTGTACTCTGTGTTCCGTCGATTGCTATTAATTTACAAGTCGCTTGAAAATTGGTAGCTAAATTACTGCCACTGCTGAGCGATAGCAGCGTGGAAACTAAGCCCAATCCGAGACCAGCCAGCAAATTAACAATGTGCGTAAATAATAATAGTTTGTATGTTGGCAAAATGAAATACTGCGTTTTTTATATGAGCAATCCACATTTAAATACATAAATATGTATGTACATTCATATACACTCAATCAATATGTATTGTGAATAATGTGTGTGAATAGCGAAAAATTACTCAATTGAGGAAATGAAAGCGAATCCCAGCTCAAATACCAACACAAAAATTTGGTTGCGTGCTTTAAACCAAGCTGGAAAAAATGTATTACAAAAATAATATAACAAGCAACAACAACAAAAGCAAAACAAACGCGTAATTGCAGAAATCAGCTGTGTACCTACAGCTCCACGTTCGTACACACGCACACAATGACAGCCAGCCAACGACACATGAGCAAAGGCAGCAAAACAAAACACGATTCGTGCTCCAATTGAGCGCCAAACAGTTATATTCTCTGTCCCTGCCAGTTCCCCTCGTTCTAAAAGTCAGACAACTAACAGCTGGTTGAGCGCTTACGCTCTCTCTCTCTCTCTCTCTATCGTTCTCTCTGGCTGTTGTTGCGTATTCTCCTATCTTCGTATTCTCTGACTCTGACAATTTGCCTTTATATGGTTCGTTTTTATTTTGTTTTGATTCTACAGCGCAATCAACTTGGCCAGCACTTTGATGCACTCTCGCTGGGAATTTCATGACAAGTTCTAGAAAGAGAAATTTAAACTGAGCAATTTAGCACAAAATGAGTATGTGTCTTCGTATATTAATTTGGGCAATTCCAAATAAGGTCGGCTGCGTGCGACGTTGATAAGTCGCTATCGCCTGGGTAAAGGGTATAGATGGGTCGACTCGATGGCCTAATTTCTGCGTAGCTCGGAAAATGCGCAACAAATTTTTGTTGCACTGCTGACTGAATACAATTTTGAAATTTCACAATTTTCTTTCTACTCTTACAGCCAATAACAGACACAGACATCTCGCTAACCGAACTTAATAAAACGCATATTAACATACTATTTAAACCGCGTTATTCAAACCGCCGTCCGCATAGAAATTGCAAAACAACAAAATAATATCATAAGCGAAAACTAAAAACATAAACATAAGAGTAATTAAAACAAACTCATCATACGTAATAGACCGTAATAAGTGAAAAAAATAAAATAAAATCAAAAACCCGAAAAAAACAAAGCAACACACATGGCGTTCATTTCGAAAGATTTTCGTTCACCTGGCGAAGCTTGGGTCAAGACAGACGAGGGCTGGGAACGCAAGAAGGTGCTCGAGTGTGGCGGCAAACGCAAGCGGTAAGTTTTTTTTTATAATCATTTTGATTTTTTATTCACATGCGATGGACAATAGACAGCTCTGATTAGCAATCAATTGATCGATGACAAAACTCTTTTATGACAATCGATTTGTATTGCGTATGCATGCACAATGCACACACATTCGGCACACAAGACAATGGAATATGTTAACTTGAAAGTTTGAACTTGTTCACTCCATTTAGGTCACATGCACAGCCTACTTAGGCATATTTACATATACATATACACATACATATGTATGGTATATACAAACAATGATTGACCTGCCACATCTGGAGAACGTAATTTTTGAAAATTAAATTATAGATCAGATAAAGTGGCATCAAAATTTGACAGATTAAATGCCAAGGCCACCGGAACTGATTTTGGTTAAGGAAATTTAAGCCAAGGCTCTTGGACGACCTACTAAAGTTCTTATCAGTTAGTTACTTTAGGTAATTTGTATAAATATAACATATGCATTTACACAATATATGACGAGGATGTTATGAAAACCTAACAATAATTGTATTTTTTGCCTTGTTCAAAACACAATAGCGTTTGCCTTCTCTTTAACTTTTAACAAAAGAAGAAAAAACAGCTTTAGTGTTGACTACACAAAATAGCATCAAAGCAAAGAAAACAAATACAAATAATGAACTGACAAATGTCGAAACCGTTTTATTGTGCCCATGAATTAATAAGACTGGCCACACACACAAAAAACATTGAAATTTGTTAAGTTAACATACCAACAATTTAGAATATGTATACATATGTACATACATACCTACAAATATATACATACATACATACATATATCCACATGTGGGTGTTTGCGTGTGCACTTGAAGAATATTACATATGGACATATGTATGTACGTACATGGATACTTAGAGATATATGTATCGATATCTCATTTGGAGTGCAATCGCTAAAATGACTCACGGCAAATGAGTGTGAAAGTGCAAGCAGCATCGGCAGACGAAAAGGGAGAGCTGCTGCTGCCGTTGCTGCTCTAGGCGCTCCCATTTGATTGATGGCAATTTGATTTACAATAAAATCGCAACATAAGCAAAAACCAATGGCTGGCAAGGCTGTAAATAGAAATCCGGCAACCCCGAGCCAGTTAGTAAACAAAGTCATAATAGATGCTATAAAAGCGTTGATGGTAAATGATTAAGTATGAAAGTAGGGCCTCAAATACAATAATATACCTACACGAGGGGAGTTTAATCACTTGCAGCTTTTTGGCGTTCAGCAGAAGAGTGTGGGTAAGAAAAAGACTGAAAAAAGAAATATGATTATATAACTATAAATATATAAAAATATATTAGACTTTTACATAAAACTAAAAGTTAAAATAGAAGAAATGTAAATTTATTTGTTTTTTAATGTTAAGTTAATTTATATGTACATACAATATGTCTTAAATGAACTTGCTTACTTCTTAAGCCACCCTCGCCCATGTATATCAGTGCTAGTCTCTTCTGCAGCAGTTAGGCTCAAATCTCAGGAGAGGGGCACCATAACACAAATCCCAAACGTGACGAAGCGAAACGTGGCTAGCTGGAACGCGCTCGTTCAACTTACTTGAAAGCTGCACAAAGTTTTACATAAAGCAGAACACCGTAAAATGCAAATGCACAGGGGTAACAGAATTCAGTTTAAAGTGATTATTTTGACATGTCAAAAAGCACATTTTTCAAAAAAAAATAAAAGAAAAAGATAAAGAGGAAGAAAATACTATTTTTGGCATTTGTCAGGCGCATTCGGCAGACGGCGCATGGTTCTTATATGGTAGAATATTGAAATACCTATGCATATATGTATGTATATTTGTATATGAGTGTATGCATGTTTGTATGTGTGCATGCGGAAGCGATGCACATAAATATGTATTTATGATACAATTTGAAAATAAATTTAAAATTAGCCGCTGGGAGTTAGAAGAGACGTAAATATAGAGATACAATTCCCTGTAGGCACCACATATTTACTCATGTATATGTAAATATATATGTATGTGTGTATTTTTGTTAAATTTACATTTAGATTAAAATCTCATTTTCAAAAAAATTGGTTTTCATTGCTGAAGGTCCTTTTTTGGCTTTTATGTAAAAACTTAACTAGGCGAAACCTTGGAAACTTTAACTCAACTCAACTCAACTCAAACACAGTTCGCCCTTTGGGAGGGCGTGTAACTCGGTCAAGTTTAGTCGAAAGTGCGGGCTGGTATGGGTATGTGTGTTAGTGAGTGAGAGAGAGAGTGTGTGTGTGAGTGTGTGTGCGGTAGCTCAAGGTTCCGTAGCCATTTTATGAGCCCAAACTTCCGCAACGAATCGATTTTAAGTAGGGCGCCAACACGAAATCTCAAGCAGGCCAAATTTATGATCCTATGATTGGGTCAAATAGCTTTTAGTCAAGGGTTCTCCAGAAGGGGAGCAGGTAAAAATAGCGTAAATTAAGTTTAAATTCAAAACTAAACAATAAAAGTTTTCATGCAATAGGAAATGTCTTTGATACGTAAGTGGAAAGTTTCATAACCGCCTCAACGAATATTTTATTATTTTGCGTTTCTACAATATATTTTTCCCATAATTTTGTGGATCAATTAAACATGCAATTGCCCAACTCTACATTGCCAATACTTCGTAATGCACTCCATTAATAATTAAAAATTCCAAAAGCCAAATTTCCAATTACATAAAGCCTCAAATTTAATCAGAGTAGCTGCACACGCGGACATGGATTAGGAATTGGACGTGGACGTAGACGTGGATGTGGATGTGGATGTGGACATGGATACGGACGTGGATGTCGATGTCGACATTGATGTCGATGTAGATGTGGACCCACTTTCACTTGCACTCTCCATTGAACATTTGTTGGCCTTTTGAATTGATTCGCTATTGCATTTATTTTTCCTTTTCTTCTCCTTCTTCTTCTGGTGCACTTTCAAAAGCCAAAGAAAATGCGTTCAATTTCATTTATACACTGGCGAACAAGGTTTATGTTTTACTGATTCAGCTTGCAACATAGAGTTTTACTATTGTCAGGAAATTTTAATATACGCATACAATAAAAATAGATTTATTCCAAATATGTATATTCTTTTAAATTTTAGAAAATTGAATGTACGTGATTGCCATGAAATTTACATAAGAATTTAGTCATATATAAACTTTAACATCATAATTTAATAATTATATTTTTCGCATACACATGGAAGATAATATTATTTATATAAAATACAAATATATACAAATTATATTACATATAGAAAAAAAGTATACAAATTATTTTTCTAATGGATTTGATTTTATGCCACTTATTTGAGATATTATTTACTTCTTGTAGAGTATAATATGTACATATATTAA